AGTATTTAGCATGCTGGTCACTGTAGCGAGATTGCATAAAGGGACATCTAAAGGCATTTGTTTTAGCCACTTACTATAGCGATGATATATATAAATATAAAATGACATGCTGTAGCATAAGATGAAATAAAGTAGCATTAAGAGGTATTCAATGGCTTTTGTTTTTTTTAATACGGTAGCACTAGAAGTGGTTATTCAAATATTGTAGCGATGCAAATAAATTAACATCTAATAGCATTGTTTTGCTACTGTAGCAAATTTTAGAAGTAATATTTGCAGCTATTACGTTCCGGTTTACAATACAAAATATTTAATAATAATGATTTAATATCTTTAATAATTAATTTTGTAGGACTTATAAAATATAAATAATAGAATTTTTGGCCGATAATTAATTAACCGATTTTAGTCAAAATAGTCTGAATAATTATGCATTTTATTGTAGTAATTTTTGGTTGGTCTTGAAATAGAGACGGTGAAACAGTGGGTTCATATTTTATAGACGTTGATCCTTGAATGGAAATAGACGTAGTGGCTTTGACCCGGAAAGGGAACATAGGCGGTGAAACATGGGTTCACAAAAAATAGACGTTGATCCTATAGTGGAAATAGACGTAGTGGCTTTGATCCTATGTGGAAAAATAAGCGGTGGAACTTTGGGTCCACAAGTCGGTACCGCATTCGCATAGGTTGAGTCGTGTTGTAAGTCACATGCATAATTGTGTATATTGTGTATGTGTGTTGATGTGTTTGGTTATGTACCAATATTGTTGTTGTTTGAATTATGGTTATGTGCCAATGATGTGAGTATTCGGATAACTGGTTTATATGGTTAATGTGTTGGAAATGACTTTCTTGAGTACGGATACTATATGTGATAAAATGAATATGATCATGATGTATTGCTTTATTTATTGCCATTGCTTTACCTTAATTACATGTTATATGATTATTGGAATTCTTACCCTTATGTTTGAAAATGCTTTTGATGGCATTGTTCAGGTACCGAGGATAGTAGCGCGAGGCGCTAGTTAGCGGATGCATTGGATTGCAATCTGTTTTATTTTGATTAGAGTCGAGTCGATGCTCTGGTAGTAACACCTAGGGGGGGGGTATATTTCGTGTCGAACTCGTCTATTTTGTATTCGGATTATGATGTATATAATCCTTACTTTGTGTATATTATTTTGTGTATGTGAGACTTGATAACATATGCTTTATGTGAATTATCATGGCTTGATGCCTTGAATTATGTTTTGATTCCTCCATGAATGGAGATGAAGTTAAATATTGAAACTCCATTGCGTTTGCACGAGAGAAAGAAGTTAAATATTTATGTATGTTTGTTTTGTGTTGATATGCTTAAATTTACAAACGTACCCTGTCCGTTTTTCTTTAAAATTTTGGAATGTGATGTGTGTTGTGACATCCCTTCCGTGCAAATTTATTTTCTCTGATTTTAATTCTTGCCTTTTATTTGGGGTAATTAGAAGGGGTGTTACAACTTTCCTCTCCTCCTTGGTCTTGGTGTCCACTAACAAGCGGGTTTCGATAATCCTTTTCAAGCATTTCTTGAGGCTCTATCTCTAGGGACAATGCCCCAGGCGTAACCCAACTCTTTGAAGAATGTGATTAAATGTTTCTTTAGGTAAAACTCTTCTTAGAACAACTCATTTTCCATGTAGATATATGATATGTTCCCCATCAAAAAGTGGTCTTGGTTCAAAGACTTACGAAACAAGCTCATACATTGATTCCATGTTTTGGTCCCTATAGCGTAACATACATTGCATGAGCCTTTTTGTTAAGGGGGTAACCAAAAAGAAATGGTCTTTGAAATGCTTCACGCCGTCAAAATATGCTTCAAAATAACGGATAACATGTGTCAATGTGAATAAGCCATGGCCCTGAGGGTGGTTCAATAAGCTGCGTTGTACTCTAAAAAGGTGTAAGAAAAGTGATAAAGATGGTTTTCCTACCCGATAGTCACACATGTACTAAAAGAGTTTGATATACGCCCAACTCACATGGTTCTGTTGTGAAGGGGAAATCATCAAATAGTTTAAAACCTCTATTTTAAAACTATTGAGGGGAAGGCGGAGACCTATCAAAAAAATGCACTCATAAAAAGGAATAGCACACTCTTCATAATCACTACAAATTCTTTTATCTTCCTCAGGGATCAATACACTCTGGTCTGAAGAATGACCTACGTCAAGAAAATCCCTTCTACGGCTATCTTCAAAATTAAAGGTACAAGCAGTTGTCGAAATCACGGTGCCAAACCAAGAGACACGGGTATCTTTTTTACTTTCTAACTCATGGTGGGAACCACTTCATCGGTTGAGAAAATAGTATGTGATGGAAATACAGATGATGAAAGAGCACAAGTAACGTCCAAAGAAACTATATAACTGGATCTGCAAAGGTCGTGCAATGTCTTACCAAAAGAAAGATGGTAGGCACTGTCAATGGTCTAAATCTCCTTAGAAAAATATTCGAGTACTTTAGTTTCCAAAAGTCATTATAATAGAACATACAAAAAAATGTCTAAAGCATGTGGCACATTTAAGGTGTGAGTTCCCAATGACAACAATATCTTGGCTTTCTACTCAAGTTGGGCTATGATCAACAGAAAAAGACAAACACAACAACACCCTCACCCTACAGAGTGGAGTCAAGGGCTTGGGGGTAACTATTCTATATTGGTCATAAGGTTCAATAGTCACAACCCAAAGAGTGTGTCGATCCACCAAGTCACCCCCGAAGCAAAGGTGATATCTAAGTTAGAACACATGAGATATAAATCTAGAATCTATTCAACGGCTCACTGCATCCTACGCTTGAAGATTAGTAAGTTTGTATAATTGATATGTTATATAAAGAGGAAGCGCACCATTTCCACGTGCATTTCAAATTCAAATTTCATTCACTCGTCTTACTCTCATACTCACTTTAGTGTTGGAGTGTTAACCTTACATATCAACCCCTCTCCTACCATACTGGAAGCTCAAATCCACCATTCCCATCTGAAATCTATATTTTTCAATCAATTATAATTTCCTCGCAAAATAATCTTCAAGTCTAAATTTTCCCCACTAATTCTTAAATAACTAATTTTTCCCACTAACATTGAACAGTAGAAAAAAAGTTATTTTTCAAAATTTATTATTAAAATAATTAAATTTTACAAAATAAATCTTCAACTAACTTATTTTTCCCACTGATTCTCAAAGGAGCCATATCTCAAACAAAAAAGGTTACAAATAAAACGTCAATCCAATTAACAATAGGGTATAACACATATGAGGAAATATCAATCTAATTGGTGGCAGTGTATAAATATATACGAGGAGACGTCAATTTCATTTACGAGTGTATACACTCTCTCTTATGTGTTTGTGCACTATCGCCAATTAAATTGACGGTTCCTATTATATATTATACACGATGGTCAATTGGATTAGTGTCTCTCATGTGTTTGACAATTTATTATTTGAAACATTTACTTTAGAAATTAATGAAGAACCTAGAAAAAAATTTGAAAGACTTAGTTATTTTAATAAAAAAAATCTATTTTTCATAAAGATAAAAAGAAACTGTAATTTTGTAGAAAAGAAAACTTATATGATTGACGTCCAAGAAAACTATGCGTGACAAATGGCATCCAACCCATGACATATTTAGCTTACTGTCGATGATTCAAATCTGGCATAAATAGTGACAAAAATCTAGAGTTTCAATATTAAAATGAAGTAAAAGACAATATGATTATATTTTCGAATTTACGGTAAGAAGTTTAGTGTGAGTGAGTGGAAAATGAAAGGACGTGGAAGCCACGCTTGAGTTCCACCCATCGCTAATTTAGCTTATGGGTCCCCACTCTACCCACTCACACATATGTTTAATTCAGAACAAACAGACATTACAAACATTATTACTCCAATATCCTCAAAAAAGACAAGGTCAAAACACACCACAGGAGACACAGTCCTGCTAACCAGAACTATATAATAGTAAAATATTTGATGTATTGATAAGGCTTTTTAATCACATGACATAACACAACGATTTATCTTCTTACCAAGAAAGATTCAATGGAGAAATCGGATCAGGTTCCATGTGACGTGATTACCGATCTTGGCTTCTTTCCTTTAATTCTCGTAAACCCAAAAACTGAAATTATATAGTCAATTTTAACTATATTAAAATTTATATGCACTAAAAACTAAATTTATTTATTTCCTCTACTTTCTCTGCTTTTGATGACTCTTTTTCAACTCCAACGCCCTCGCTTTCACTGCAAAAGTGAACACAACTACCCTTGTTTTTAATTTTCTTTAACACTCATAGAAGCCCCACTTGTTTGCGTTTATTCAACAGGTAATAGACTTTAATGCATTCAATTTAACACCATTAAACAAAAGGCTCAATCTCATTACATGCTCTTGAATAACAATAATAAATTGAAAATTAAAAAAATTTCCTTCCAAATTCCAATATCCATCCATCTTTTTTGTATAACAACTGTACATGGTTATTATATCCTATTATCCAAGCATTTTTCAATCTAATCTTAGGGAAACAATTTCCCTTCACCCCTCTCTCTTGCTATATTTTCCATCTCATATTCATAATATCCTATTTTTTAGTAACCACAAAAAATTTAAATAAACCCCACCCCATTTTAAAAGAAAAAAAATCTCAACTTAAACCCAATTTCCATTTTCCATATACAAATTTTCCCTGATCCAGCATCATCATCATGGCTGTATCTTTAAAATTCAGCCAAGATACAACTCCAACTCAAGTGAGATTCTGAGGACCCACTTGATCACAGAGTGACATGTTAAACAGTCAACTCTAGTCCTTCTTCTGCAAGTGGGATTCAAACTTCCAAATATTTTTCCTGGATTTTTGTGATCATCATTCTTTGCAGTTTTTTTAACTTTCAGGAGGAAACATTTTAGCATGATTTTGTACTCACTGGTTACTCGCTGCTACCAATCTTCAATGAATATTCTCCCGATAAAATCTCGAAACCTCTTTGAGTATAGCTTTGGATCAACCGCGGAAATTGAAGTTGGGTCAACTTGCAAGGACTTGTAAGCATGTTCAAGCTTCTTGCTAATATCGTAGTCTTGCAAAATATCGATAACTCCAAAATATAAAACGCAATCATAAGTCTCCCCACTGCTATAAGGGTTCAAATGGCTGATTCCGCCATTGGTGTATTGGTCAAAATCACTCCTTCTTGCTAGTCTCTCGGCTCTTGCTGGCATATTGGCTCCTAGCCTAATTAATGATTTCCTGAAGCAAGAAATCATAGTTAATATGAATTCATATAGAAAAATATCAACAATCTTGAATAGTTTAGGATTGTAATTAAATAGTAAAGAAATCAGAATCTTCAAAACATATTATTTCTAAGTATGATTCCCTAAAGCAAATATATCATATTTAATACCATGTAGAAAAATGCCAACAATCTTGAATAGTTATGTTCAATTAAATAGTAAAAAAACAGAATCTTCAAAAGCCACAGTAACTGATAGTTGAAATTGTTGTCTGTATATGCAGTGTATAGGATAAATCAAGAGATGGACGCAAAGAAGGTAAGAAACAAATATGATTGCAATCAATGAATTTATTGTCAGGCCAGAAATATATTAGAAATCAAATTAAATCTAATAAATTTGACCATAGCTTTCTGTGTCCCACAAACAACTATTTCCTGCAATACTATACCGACTTAACTTGCCAACATAATGCAAACTACTCTCAATTATTATCATGAATTATTATCATGAAAGATATATATTAGAATGAAGAAACGTTCAAACAATTTTAGTGCCATCAACGAATTAGGAATTAAGCTCTCAATTATTATCATGAATTATTATCATGAAAGATATAAATTAAAATTCTAGAAATAATCAAACAATTTTAATGTCATTAATGAATTAGGATTTAAGCTGGCGTGTATTATAGGCCTACAACTTATTCGTTTCTGATACTTTCAAGAGATGACAAGATAATATCTAGAATTTTATTGTAATGCAATGCAACAAATTCAGAACAGACTGAAATACCATCTGGTGAGCGTAAACATTTCTCATTTTTACCGGGATTTATCAATATGATTCCAACTGATTAAGAGATATAAAATTAAGTTTAGGTTGCAAGTCATATAACAACCCAATCATTTAATAAATTAATAATAACAATTTCTATATTAATTTAAAGGAACTACAACAGATCATGACATACCTTCCAGATTTAACCCGATCCCTATCTTGCAGCTCTGCTTCAAGAAAGCGATAACCACGCATAAACTTCTCATTATGATACGAGTCCTGATTGCCTAAAAGGGAATAGAAAATTACTTTGAAAACCTGTGTAACATAAACTGTAACCATATGCACTGAAGTGGGTAATGGATCAATACCAGTGCGCAAAAGAAAAGGTGACAACCCCATTTTGTCATACGTATTGTCATCGCGAAAATGAAGGCCAACCAAAAGACTGTAATCCATAATTTTCTCGGTTTCCAAAAATTCGCAATCATGCTCAATTTGTCTGAACAACATCATAACTTGTCAGATATGTATGCCATAACGTTTTCACATCAAAGGAACATCCCAGAAATTAAGAGATATAACAAATTAACATGACAACTTACTTAATAAGATCCTGGTACCAATTTCTTTGAACCCGAAACACATAATTTAGATCAAGGTCCTTGAGGGTGGTAGTTTCATCAATCTCATCCTCAGGTTTGTCTGTTGCACGACCATGTGAAGATCCTTTCAAATCAAATCTTCTATGAATTGGATACTCAGAGCAGAAAAGATTTCCCATTACAATAAACCGGATCTGATTTTCCAATAACCATTAAAAGTCAGGTACAGAGTAACATAAGAGAAACTCTTCAAACAGCTAGGGTAATATATCTATCAATTCATACCTTCTGGCCTCCGATTGGTTTTACACAATGTACCCCGTAGAATTTTGTCACGAGTGAATTCTCATAATTACACACGTGTTTGTAATAGCTTCGAAGCATCCGAAGAAGGACCTGAGATTTGATAGTAATAAAGAACCAGCCATCAATGTGAGTATAGATTGAGCCAAAGACAGTTATAGTTGTGCATTATACTCCCTCCTTTTCAAAATGAGTGTTGTTTAAGGTTTTTGCACACAGAATAAGGAATGCAATAAATTGTCAGACACTACACTTTTACTAAATTAACCATATTAACGTGTTGGAAGTAGTGTACACAATAATAATTAAATGGCATAATTAGAAAATTTTCAATCATGTATATCTTTAAATGTGGGAATGACGTAGATTTTTAAACAAATTTTATTGGTAAAAAATGACACTCATTTTGAAACAGATGGAGTAGAAGGTAAGAATCTAGGTTTAATCATGATATTCCAAATTCCAATAGCAACAAGGATAGACCACCATCTTCAAAAAACCTATGTTGTTTGTTCTACTAACAATTTGACCAACGGTTTCGAATAATGGTTACGTGAAGTAAAAGACATAAAATAATCATTTTGTCAAGTGGCATATAATATTCTTAGCATGCTAGCATGAAACCCTTGTGAAATTCAACAGACACAAAATTCAACAAAAGTATATACAAAATATGTATCTATCTAACCTTGACTTCAGATTTCTTCACTGTCTTAATCATGAATCGGTCATCTTGGGTCAAGTAGAAGACACTTCCGCTTTTCCCAGGAGAGGAAAGTTCTCTGAGAGCATCATCCCCACATATAGCCAACATGTAATCAGCAGGATCAACCTGAAACAGCTTCCTCAAATGTCTGAAGATTCAAGGCAACACAAAGTCAACAACAGAGCACAACACAATTTCACCACCCTAAACAACTCAACACAATATATCATCCATAAAAACCCAAAATAATTCCAACACAGGTCTTTTCAGTCCTCGCCAAAATATCAATAATAAGACAAACAAACATAATTAAATAAATAAAATGCTATACCTAAAAACAACAGGGCAGTAATCTTTCCATCGAAACTCTGCAGTTTGATGGGGCGGGGTAATTTTGGATCCTTCGGGTGGAAACTTTGTCCAGAACTTCTCCTTAGATTCAAAATCACTAGGTTTAAGCTCTCGCAATTTAGACGCTTCCTTCCCAACAGTATACCTATACAAAACATGACTGATATTAAAGAAAACCAACGCAAACACCGAAAAAACAATAACAAAAAAGAATAGAAATGATCAAGTTAAGATCCCCAGAGACAGTAATTTACCTAATCCCCAATTGCAAATCGAGCATCAACTCATAATTCTTATGCCCTTTAGAAATAATTTCACCAGGTCTCTTAACTTCAGAAGAGAAACAACAAGGGTGCTTCCGAAATTCATCAGGCTCAGACGCCGTCCCATCGCGATAAAACATGGATGCTTCCAGATTATCAACAATATCACAAGTGATATCACCAGCTTCACCCTCAGATTCCCAAATACAAATCCTAGGAAAACTCTTATCATTCAAACTCCCTCTAGCACTAACAGTATCAACCGAAGACCTCTTCATCATCATCATAGGGGCAAAACTGTCATTCCATAACAATCCACCACCAACACAGCTTGAACCCTTGAAATTCAAACCATGCTGAATCTTCATAACTCCTTGTCCTTTCGGTACACCATTCTCCCACTGACCCTCGTAACGGTTTCCGTTAACCCAAACCAACTGACCTTTACCAGAAATAACGCCGTTACGCCATTCTCCAACGTATTCATTTCCGTTCTTCCAAGCGTAACGCCCCTGACCGTCTTGCACGTTACGCTTCCACCAACCTTCATACAAATCACCGTTCGCGTAACGTTTCTGACCGAACCCGTGCTTCCTATCGGAACTCCATGACCCGCGGTAAGTATCTCCGTCGGATCCAACGAAAGTCCCAAACCCTTCCATTCGACCCGACTTGAACTCTCCCTCGTAAGTCGCACCCGAAGGCCATGAAAATTTTCCTTTCCCCGAAGCTTTTCCTCGCTTCCATTCACCTTCATACATACAACCGTCGGTCCAGAGATACTTACCGGATCCATTAGGTACGTTCCCGGAGAAACTTCCTACATAGAAATCTCCGTTAGGAAGAACTCTCTCCACAACAGATCTACCGTCAGAAACCACCGTGAAGCTAGTCGGCGTCACTCTCCGTCCACCTCCTTGAGAACGGCTTCTTCCAGCAATCACCGCCGGTGGAGACTGTCTATTTTCCTTCTCCGGCTCCGGAATGCTGTTCTTCGCGGAGCTATCAACTTCGTCGGATTCATTGCAAAGAAGCGCGTCGCTCATTGTCGATTGTTTCGGATGACACTCAAGAATCAATGCATTTTCCGGCGAGAAACACGACTGTAACTCACTTAGCTCCGGCAAGATTCGGGTTTATAAATAACGCCGGCGCGAGGTTTTCGGTTTTCGTTACCCCTTTCTCTCTGTTTTCTTTATTTTATTTTTTCTCTTGTTTTCTCTTTTTGTACTGTTTGGAAGAAAAATGAGTGGGAATCATAGAAAGCACAGAAGCTAAGCGGATAGAAAGAGAGTATAATACAGACAGACAGGACATTTATTTTCAGTTTTTAATACAATAAATAACTAAAAAATTTCTCGAAATAAATCGAAAATGAAAAGAGCGTTTAATGTGCCAGCAAGGCAGCACTTCTTTAATTAATTAATAATTAATTATTAAATTAAATATTTTAATTTCATAATATGATAAATTTCCATTTTTATCTAAGTTAAGTTGAATGATATTTTTATCTTACTAAAACGACAGCGTATCATCTTCTCTTCTAAATTGGGTTTTGTAGTGACGTAACGGAATCTCCTAGGATTACCAGCGTGAGAGTATGTCATGTCACGGTTTCAGTCTCAGGTTCTCTGTGTGATTTGGGTTAAATTAGTAATTTTAAGAGGATTAATTAATTGGATATTCTGTTATTAACCCAGAGTTCTGAATATTAATTACGTGTAGATCTTGTACTTTGTTTGTAATCAGAAAATATTCTTTTGTATTTGTAATTATTATATGTGAAATTTTAATAGGGGCTAATCTCTGCGACGGTTTTGTTTGTCACACCAACGTAGGGATAATTATTTTGATTTGAATTTAGTTTCATCATTATCCTTTTATTTTTTGGTTCAGCTTTATCCCATTATTATTTGTTGGTTGATTTGGATCATGGATGGGATATTTTGTTAAATAAATAAATAAAAATGTTGCAAAGTGGGGTTTCTTGGTAATACTGATAAAAAAAATGAAAAATACTTTTGTTTTTTATTTAGTTTCTTTTCCGAGAGGGTATTCTACTTTTTGTTGTTATTGGTATTTTTATTTTTACGATGATAACGTTTTGTGTTATAGCAATTTATTTAAGCTAGTAGAAAATGAAACGCATTTGGAAGTAATGGAAGTGAAAATGAAGGCTATAGGTAGTAGGGTTAACAACCCTTGAGAAAGTGCAAAATGATACTTGACTTTATATAAGCTTTGGGAAAAAAGGAATTATAGAGGGGATGGACCTATTTCACCTATTATGGCCTGCTTTTATCAGTGGGTTATACAATCACTCTCCTTCTTAACACGACGCTTATTCTTATTATATTTAGAAATAATGTGTTTTTTATTCAAATAACATGTTTTTAAAATATTAACATTTTATCAATAGTTAGTTAATTCAAATAACGTGTTTTTAAAATATTAACAATTTTACTGATAATTAATTAATTTAGTGGTGATTGACGATAAATTTAATAGAAAAATTAATTATTTGATATGCAACAACTGCAATAAAAAAATTAAAATTATTTATTATTTAGAATTTATCCCCGAATCAAAATAAATGGGTAGTGATAACAAAAAAGTTATATTACATTTTATTAAATTCTTAAAATAATTTAATCTAACATTCTATCACTATTTTGTGTTATTCTGCTAAATGATATGTCAGAAATGCTCTTGTGGTAAATTTAATTTATTTTAATAAAAAAAATTATTTATAAAAAATATTTAACTAATTAATAAAGTAATAATAAGTTTTTAAAATTATATAATTTATAAAATTATAAAAACATAAATATTTTATTAAAAAAATCAATTAATTAAATACTTTAGTTTAATTATAAAATGAACTTTAATATAAAATTAAAGTGATAAAATATTTAAATTAAAATTAAATATATGATACAAAATATATATATAAGATACGAATGTTGTTGTCGTTAGAAGCGGTTGTCGATTCCACATTGACGAGGTATTATTCTTCGTTGGCCCCAAACTAATAATGATTGATCTTCATATTTTAATTTTGATAATTGTGTTACACTTTATCGAAATGAAATTTATTCATATTTTTTGGATTTTGATGATAACAAAAGTACTTAAAGAACAATATGGTATTCTAGCATTTGCTTAAGTGTGCAGGATTATTAAATTGTTAATTAATTCGGTTCTGATCCAGTTAAATAGCTTATAAAGAAGAAGCAATTCAGATTCTACTAGATCAGAATTTAATTTTCAAATAGAACATCAGCACTTAATTGACTCAGTCTCTAATGTTCTAATAAAGATCTTAGCACTATGTTGACTCAACCTCTGATGTTCAAATGGAACTTCAAAAGCGCCTTACTGGAAACAAACTACAAACCCCAGTTTGTTCGTACTTTATACAAAAGCAACTTCATCGTATCAACTGCCAGAATTAAGTCAACTAAAAGTTTTAGCGTAAGGCTCAAGGCTGCTCGACACGATCTCTTCAGTCTACTACAACATGCCTATAAACTCCTTACGTGAGAAATACACAATGGATAAATAAATTATTTAGAAGATGAAGTTCCTCATCGTACCTACTCCAACGTCTCTCTCTTGGGAACCGTTTCTTCAGTAAAGTAAGCTTCCAACGTCTCTTTTGTTCCATCTATATAAGTAGTTGAAGATTCAAAAAAGCAACAATAGTACACAACAACACACAACAAGAAAGAACAAGAATTGTTTCGCTCTCTAAGCTTATGTACATAAGTTGTTGTATTGCACATAAACTTGAGATCTTCTTACACTTGTATATCTTAGAAATCTCAACTAACAAAGTCTTTGTTTGTGTTGTATTTTTGTACCTCTGATTAAATACCAGGTACTTCTTGTTGTAATCCTAAACAATTTGTTTAGAATTTGTAAAAGTCTCAAATAGTGTGTTTGAGCAAGAAAGTCTTGGACTAAGTGTTTGAGCAAGAAAGTTTCTTTCTGTTTAGACTGAGCAAGAAAGTCTTGAACAGTTGGTTTAGGCAAGAAAGTCTCTTTCTGGTTAGATTGAGCAAGGAAGTCCTAAACATTTGTTTAGGCAAGGAAGTCTCTTTTTGATTAGATTGAGCAAGGAAGTCCTGAACAATTGGTTTAGGCAAGGAAGTCTCTTTCTGGTTAGATTGAGCAAGAAAGTCCTAAACGGGAGTGTTTAGGCAAAAAGTCTCTTTCTGGTTTCATTGAGCAGGAAGTCTTTCCATACCTTGTGTAATCGGAAAGTTTATCATAGAGAAAGCTCTATGCGACTTAGGAGACAATATTAGCTTAATGCCCTTATAAATTTGCAAAAGGCTCAACATGGGAGAATTGATACCAACAAGAATGTTCGTGCAACTAGCTGATCGTTCATTGAAATTTCCTTTAGGTATGCTGGAAAATGCCTCAGTGCGTATCAGAAAATTCTATATTCCCACTGATTTCATTATTATGGACATCAAGGAGGATTCTGACATCCCTATTATATTAGGAAGACCATTCCTCGCCACCGCTGGAGCCCTTATTCATGTAAAAATGGGTAAACTCACTTTTGAGGTTGGCGAAGAAAAGGTCGAATTTATTCTCTTGTAATTCTTCAAGTCACCCGCTATAGATGATTCATGTTGTTTCTTAGATGTCATTGATGAATGCGTTAAAGAAATGGAGAAATAACATACTACATATTCGAAAGTTTTGAAAATTCCAATACCTCATACCCTTGAAGATGATAATTGGTGTGATGAATACAAAGATGATAATCTAAGTGAATGTCTCGCGCTAACTCCTAACCTTATGCCTTGCCCAAAGAAACCAGTTGTCGAACTTAAAATGCTACCCAAAGATCTAAGGTGTGAATTCCTAGACACAGGACTTGAATAACCTGTTATAGTCAACAGAGATTTAGGACAGATAGAAACTAAAAAATTATTACATGTCCTAAGAAAATACCCAACTGCTTTAGGCTATAACATCTCAGATCTAAAAGGAATAAGTCCCTCTAACTTCATGCATCACATTATGCTTGAGGAAGACTGTAAGACCTCGAGAGAACATCAGAGAAGAATAAATCTCGTTCTGAGTGATGTAGTCAAGAAAGAAGTACAAAAGTTATTAGAAGCAGAAAACATATATCTGATATTTGACAGTAAATGGGTTAGCTCAGTACATGTTGTACCAAGGAAGGGAAGTGTTATAGTTGTCAGCAATGAAAAAGGCTAATATGTAGCACAACGTACTCAAACCATATAGAGAATATGCATTGACTATAAGAAATTAAACAAAGCCACTCGAAAAGATCACTTTCCTTTACCTTTTATTGATCAAATGCTCGAACGATTGGCTAAGCATTCTCACTTCTATTATTTAAATGATTCTTCATGATTCTTTCAAATCCCTATTCATCTTGAAGACCAAGAAAAGACCGCCTTCACATGTCCTTATGGTACATTTACATATCGACGAATGTCATTTGGACTATGTAACGCTCCCACAACATTCCAAAGATGCATGATGTTAATTTTCGCTGATTTTATAGACGACATCATGGAAGTATTTATGGATGATTTCTCTATTTGTGGGAAAAGTTTTGAATGATGTTTATCGAACTTAGAAATGGTACTTGAAAGATGTGTAAAAGTTAATCTCGTGTTAAATTGGGAAAAATATCATTTCATGGTCCGACAAGGAATCATGCTTGGACAAATAGTGTCTGATAAGGGGATTGAAGTTGACAAAGCTAAAATAGAAGTTATATAAAACCTGAAAACTGTAAGAGAAATACGAAGTTTCTTAGGACACGCCGGTTTCTATCGACGATTCATTAAAAATTTCTCTAAAATCACCAAACCACTAACTGGCCTATTAATGAAAGATGTTGAATTCATTTTTGATGACAAATTCTTAAAAGCATTAGAGAAATTAAAAACATCTCTCATTACCGCACCTATTATGCAACCACTTGATTGGAGATTACCGTTTGAAATCATATGTGATGCTAGTGATTATGTCGTAGGCGCAGTCTTAG